AAAAGTTGCAAATAGAAATTGACTCAGCAATTCCACTAATGGGAACATACCCTAAAGGAACCATAACTGTCACCCAAGCAGATATATGCACACCCATGTTTATTGCTGCTTTGTTTACAATAGCAAAGAGTTGGAAACAATCTAAGTGCCCATTAGTGAATGAGTAGATAGAGAAGCTGTGGTATATTCACACAATGGAATACTACGCTGCGCTGAAAAACAAGGAATTAATGAAATATACAAAATGGGTAACCCTGCAGGACATTATGCAGAGTGAAATATCTCAGTCACAAAAAGACAAATACCGCATAATGCCACTGTTATAGGGATGGGGGGGAGACTGAAAAAGAGGGGATAATGTATAGTGCATCGAAACAGATAAGGGAGAGAACTGTTTAAAAGGGATATATGATTAGGTATTATTGTCCTGACAGGAGTCCAGAATGAAGGCAGTATAGTGAAGTGGACTTGGAAGAATTTTCTTTTACTTTTCAAAGAAAAGAGCAACAATGAATAAATGGAAATCCAAAGTTTCTATAAACATTTATTAAAATTTTTTTTAAAAAGAGAGTGACGGGCTGTTGTTATTAGGTGCCTTTGAGTTGACTGGAACTCAATAACGACAACATAACTAAACCATACCCTTGTCCTGTGCCATTTTTATAATTTATGACATACTTGAACCCATTGGCCAGGATGTTGTTATTGTTGTTGTTACGTGCCATCGAGTCGCTTGCGACTCATAGCGACCCTATGTACAACAGCCCTAAACTCTGCTCTGTCCTGTACCAATCGCACTGTCTCTGACACTCCCATCTCGATTATCCCAGTCACTGAATCAATCCACCTCATAGAGGGCCTTCCCCTCCTGCGCCGTCCCTCCACCCTCCCAAGCATGATGTCCCTCTCCAAGGACCGGTCTCTCCTTACAACATGTCCAAAGTATGATAGACGGAGCCTCAGAATCCTTGCCTCCAAGGAGCCACCCGGTTTAACCCTTTCCAGGATGAATCTGTTTTCCTAGCAGTCCATGGTACTCACAATACTCCTCTCCAGCACCACAGCTCAAAGGCATCAATTCTCCTTCTATCCTCCTTGGTCATTGTTCAACTATCTGATGCATAAAAATGATTGCAAAGCCTGTGTCAGACGCACCTTAGTCTCCAGAGAGACACCATGGCTCTTCAGTACTTTGGAGAATTGCCTAAGAGCTGACTTTCCCATGGAGGACTTGTAAAAATGACAGTGAGGGATTGTAGTTCAGTGAGGCTGGAAGAGGTGGAAAGGATGGGAGGTTTAGACGTTGTAAACTTTGAAGGGTTTTTCTTTAGTTCAAGAGCTAGAAAGATCGTGAAGATTTAAGCAGGAGGTAATGTTGTCCAGCTTGTTTATACATGTGTATAGCAATTTAAAAAATGCCTTTTTAATTATATACATCTTTATAGCAATAAGAATAGATATTAAATCTTGCAGTGAAGCCTACAACTGTAGAGGAACCTAAAGCTTTCAGGTTTCAGAGGGTCGCTTGCTTTGTCTCACGCTTTAGTTATTCTAGGGAAGCCCATGAGCGCTTTGTAGTCGTCACAATGACGTAAAATTTACGCGACGTGAATGTGCGAGGCGAGTTTGGAGGTAAGCGATATGTGATTGGCTACTTAGCAACTGTATGCTAATTTATGTAACAGTTTGAAATGTCTTTTTAAAAACTCCAGAGTAGTAAATTGTCTTTCGAACTTGAGTACCTTAGAAGAAATAATTTAGAGAACACAAGATTGTACATTTGGGAAACATATTGGCAACTGTAGTAAACTCACCATTATGAAAATATGTGTGACTGTTACTCACTTCCGAGAGGCCGAGGTTGGGCTGTTAAGACTATACTTTCAGGGATCATTTCTATAGTTCGTTACTAGAGAAGTTTCTCTGATCGTGTAGAACACCGAAAACCATGAGGAGGAGACGCAGCGTTCTCTCCTGAGCGTGAAGCTGGCTCTTGGTGTTGTTTCGTTGCAACTGCCACTTGCCATTGATGATTGTTTTTCTCTCCCATCATGGGAGAGGAAGAGGGAGAGGACGCAGTCTGAGTGGTTTTC